AATTAAATGAAATTTACTAACTAAATATAAACTCTTAAAAATTTTTCTAAGTTTGAAAAAAAAGTTTAAAAAATCCACCGAATGAAAGTAACAAACAATTTCAAAGAATTTATGTGAATATTTCATGGCTTTGCAAAACATATATTTTAAATCTTATATACACATTTACTGTAGTTTAATAATTCTGAATCTTATATCATATTTAAATTATCTGGTATAAACGTTCGTTTATTCCGAAAAATAGTAATATTTTAGGAAATTTAAGATAGTGAATGATTTGATGAATTTTTGCTTTGTGAAATCCATACAGTACCCACTTAAAATTAGTGTGACAACTTTTGACATATCTATGGCAGGCAATGAAAATCTCGTAATTTTATTTTGGTAAACTTTAAAATGGAAAATAGCAGTTGAATAACTAATTCGGCGTACAATACATAATCATTTATAGGTTGAATACAGAAAACTACTTTTAAATCACTCTAGGTATATATCAGTTGCTGGAATTATATGGTTTACAAAAACAGATGGAGTACCGAGGTTTTTATTGTATACAGTTGATATAAGAACTAGGGTTTTATTGTAGCACCACAATTTATTTATTTATTACCCTTGCTAATCCTTTTTATAACCTTTTTTTGTAGTTTATGCTTTGATTTTTCTGGAACAATTGCAAAGTTTGATTATAAAAAATAATAAACAAAAAATATAAAAAAGCGCGATATATTTAGTAATGTTCTGAATCCTATGAAACTTTTTTCTTTCTTAGTAAATTTTAATAAATTTGAAATACCTAATTATAAAAATATCAAAAAAGTGTGTACTTTTTGAGATATTTGAAAATCAGTAAAATGTATATAGTATATTTTGAAAGGTAGTCAAATTATCTACTATTTATAATTTTTGACTTATTCGAACATCCAATTTTACGACCCATTGTTATTTTTTTCCCAGCACCTTTTCGGTGAAGTATATTTCATAGAGAAACTTAAAGGGCTTTAAGGAGAAGACTTTAGCCAAGTTTCATCAAAATCGGTACAATTATTTAGGCGTTAAAGTCTAAACGGTACAGGTTTTTCGGCCGCCATATTGACATTAAAGTATTTTTCGGTGAATTATGTTATGTACATAAATTTAAAGTCCTTCGAGGAGAAGACTATGGCCAAATTTCTATAAAATCAGTTCATTAGTTTAGGCACTACAGTCTATAGCGGAACAAGTTTTTCGGCCGCTAACTTAAAAGACAGATTGTAATATTGAATGCCAAAGATCATCCTCTAGGTCCTTTTGATATTGATACCTAATTTCAAAATAATCGGTCCAGCAGTCTCAAGAAAAGCCGCGGACGGCGTACGGCCAGATTATTTTTATTCGATTTTCGTATCCTGCGTATCTTGAAACGCAAAACCTCAAATTTTGAGCGGTGTTAACTTTTTTTATATTGGCAATCGCAGAAGTTAATTATTGAAAATTATTAAGGAAAATTAGAATACTTATTGAATTATATTTTTTAGTATTTATATGTCAAATAGTTTCAAAAACATTCAGGAAACTTTCCTTAGTAATTTTAACCGTCTAACAGAAAAATCAGTCCAACCGTTTGATAAAAAGCGTTACATGAATTTTAATGCATAGATTAAACATATTTAAAAGTAATATTGCTCAGTGTTCTGACCCAAATAGTTTCAAAACACTCAAGGTTTCCCACTGAGTTTCTCATTAGCTATCAAACGTAAAAATCTATCGTTATCCCAAAACATTCTACAAGAAATCTATAATAACACGTAATTTCCCTTCTTGCAATTTACTGTAGGCGGATAAAAATATTGTAGGGACGAAAAAATGAATGTTTTTAATATTATGAACATTAAATTTTTATTTACTTCCACTTGAAGCACAGCATTTATTTTTAGAAAATCTAGAAAAATACAAGGAGTATAAAATCTTGTATTCGGATGCTTCAAAAGTAGATAAGGAAGTAGGAGGCACGGTTTTCAATTCTGACTTTCACAAACTATTTAAACGACTATATCAAGTTGATGTTGATATATTATTTATTTTCATAATAATGTATTGTTATAGTATTAAATTGATATACTATTATTATTGTTAATTTTTTTTAGAAATATTGGGATGGCAAATAATTACTTTCGATTACCATTATTTAATATTACTTTTCCCATCTTTCTGCATAATGCCATGTTCATATAATATCTGGAGTTTATTATTAAAAACTGATCCAAATGGTTTTTAATGTCTCATTCCTTTTGGAATATCTTCCCATTTATGAAGTTCTGATCAGAAGAAGTGTTAGTCACTTGGACCTAGGTCTGATGAATAGGGAAGGTGGGGCAAAAGGTCCCATCCAAGGCTTAATAATTTATTGCGAGTTACCAATGAGGTGTGGGACCTAGCGTTGTCAGTATAAAGTTGAATCAATATTTTTTTCCTGATGGCAATAGCTCATTGAAAATAACAACCTTGAAATCCCACCATATGGAAAGCATTATCTTCTTTGGATGCATTTCGGGTTTTGACATTCTTGTAGGAGCCTCACTACTTGGTCCTTGTGATTTCTACGGACTACGTTATCGTAAAATATCCATTTTTCATCTTCTGTTATCAATTTTTTCTAAAATAGGTCGATTTTGTTGCCGTTTCCGGAGTGAATCACAAACAGAAATGCGTAGTTGCCAAGTAGGCTTCGGTACTAAACTGAAAACATAGCCAAGCTTCTACAAATGGTTTACTTTACATATGTAGGGCTATAGCAATCTCTTGCACTGATTGGGTGGGATTTTGATCAACAATGGCCTCATCGTTTCAATTTCATATGGACGATCAGATCGTTGAGCATCATTGATGTCAAATTTCCTGAATGAAGTTTGGCAAACCAATTTCGACAGGTGAGTTCGGTTAAGGCATCATCCCCATAAACACTGCAAATTTTTCTATGAGATTACGCAGCACGCTTTCGCTTTTTTTAAAAAATACAACAAAATATGCCGATAATGAATGATATTTTCTTCCATATTCACAGTGCAATAGCAAACACAATACTAAGCTAGTTTCAACAAGAGTTAGCAGATACAGTTTTTGACATATTACAAACAGAATAAACAATTCACCTCAGGGATCAATTCATCAGATAAGATGTGTATCATAGTGACATAAAAATAAACGGAAAAAACCGAAAGTACGTATTTGCCAACCCAATATATATATACATATATATATATATATATATATATATATATATATATATATATATATATATATATATATATATATGTATATGTATTGTTGTTTATGTAATTTTATAATATATTAAATTTCCCAGGATGGAGATAACATACAATATTATTTTTTTCTACTTCCAGGTATTGTACTGGTTTTAAATGTAACTTTGTAATTAAAAACAAAGGCTTTAAATTTAATGAAAATAAATTGAACAGAGGCAACATATTAAAATCAGATAAATGCTTTTAAATATTTGCTTTATGCCTTATATTTCCAGTTTTAGTAGCTATGGGTCAGAATTTTTTTTTTAATGCTTTGAAAAAGAATTAAAGAGAATGCTTTAAAAAAGAAGAAAATACGTGATCTAATGAGGGGTTCTGAAAACATCACTTTTATCAAATAATTTAGGTATTTCATTAAGATAAGGTTGAAAAAACTATAGAATAGTTTTTACACGCTAATTTTTTTAATAAAATCATCAACCATCTGATGCGCTACCAGAACTAAATCTCGAAAAACGACTTTCTTGAAATCCTCATAAAAAAAAAACTTTTAAAAAGCTAGACTTTTTCGCCTACTTCAAAACTTATTAGATAAACGCTCTATTTTTAAAAAAATATTTTAATTTTATCATTCACCTTATTTATACGGACATCAACTTATTTTATTAAGGATTACATTCTAAAAAACGCTCTTAACTTTTAAGAGACTGTAGTCCGTAGACTGCAGGTCGTTTTTAAAACAAATTATTAACATCCGCCTAAAAATTCTCAGAAATCGGGTGTTCAATAAATCAATTCACTTAATTAGTGCTAAAAAGTCATACATATATATTTTCTTTCCACTTGAATCGTATGATAATTGGATCACAAAATAGAAAAAAAAAGGTGGCCTACAAAAATATAGGCAGTTTGGTTTATATAACGTCGTTATTTTGAAATGTTGGTGGTGGAGGTCAAACCGAATTGTCCAATATTTGTAGTTCACTTTTATTCTCGATTTTGTGATAAAATTATCTTAAGATTTAAGAGGAAAGAAAATGCGAGTTCATAAGCTCTTAATGCTTCATTAAATTGACAAGATTTGCCGATATCCAGATTAAAAACACAGCGAAATTCCAAGAATTTTCGCAAATAAGACTTTTATAAGTTAAGAATATATAAAGCTATTCACGAAGTTTTAGGGAGATGTTAATAATTTTATAAAAAGAGGTTTGTACCACGGACTAATATAAATTACTGGTTTACTTGATTATTATAAGGGTTGTCTGGAAATAGGGAGTTGAGCTTTGTGGTTTCAGTAATCTATCAAATTACGAAATATCCAATCCCAACAACCTAAAATACTTATTGTGTCACAAATAAAATTCTCCATAACGACCTTAATGTTATGACAAGTGCTAACAATGGATAGTATTTCTAAAAGTCTGTCCATGTCATTTTTGCAATTCACGTTTACTTGTATTTTTAGTGACACAGTTTTAAAATTTAACAAATGAAAAAAATCTCAACTAAATGAGATGCCATTTAATACATAGTTATATTAAGTATAATCCTTAATACATAGATCATAGATACAATGAAGTATGTTCATTAATTGACTTCAACCTTTTATTTTTATCTTTATATCTAGTTTTAAAACAGAAAAACACTGAAGCTATTCTTTTTATTTATTCATTGATAGTAATTTAAGGTAATATATTTTTTAATAATATTTATATTTATGTATAAATGTATTAAAGTATACAAAGATAAAGTTACCAGCAATCAGGAGAGAGAGTATCAGTTTCACAGTTGAAGCCATTCTGCTGCCTGTGCACAATCTATGTTGAGTGGGTATTTATGTTGATGCACTATCGCTAACGATGTTAATAATGGTAACATTACCAAGAAATATTGAAACTGCTCCAACGGTACTGATCAAATTACCTTTATCAAATTACTATTGTGCCATTATTCGAGAGATTGGCTAGAACATTCAGTGCCTTATCTTGTATGAATGTGTTATCGATGTTAGAACTATTTTTGCAATGATATTAAGACATGGTATTGATAATAAACAATGTATTATTCATAGCTGGGGAATAACCACTTTTATAAAATAAAATAGGTACTATCTGAAAATAAATCAAAATTACTTTCGTAAGGATACAATGTGTAAAATATAAATTTTTACTTTCACTTAAATGTACATGTAATATACAGTAAGGAAATGTATCACGAATCTAGTTTCCAATCGAAATATACGTTTTGAGGTCATCTGAATCCAAAAATGTGCTATGGCGAATGGTAATGCTAAGTTTCGAGACTCATCCACGGGTGCCCTTTGACATTGATACCTTTCTTTTTCTTTTTATTTATTCATGATATTTACAACTGTATTAATAAATAAAATACATTTAGCAAATTTGATAACAGGAAATAATAACATGAAATCACTTGTTGAGAAACTACCCACTAGTAGCACTCTAAAAACAAAATGTATTTACAATAAGAGATCTCGAGGCCATCTTCTTTTCAGACGCCTCGGAGGGATATCAGGAATAGTAGAGGAAGCAAGGTTAGAGACGAGAGGATTCGGATGGTTCTGAAGTTTATTATGGAAGGATTGGTATCTGTATTGGGCCAAAACGGGCACATAAGGAACATTAAGGTCATTATGGATTATTTTATTGGTGACAAAGTAAGGAGCATTGCGGATTTTCTGAAGGATTTTGGATTGTAAGAGTTGGATATGAGAGGAATTCGATGGCTTAGTGGAGCCCCAAAGCTCAACTCCGTAAGTCCAAATAGGTCTTATTGTAGTCATGTATATAAGTCTTTTGTAATTAACTGGAAGCTTAGAGCGTTTGTCTAGTAAATGTTGGAGTATTCGGAAACGTCGAGTGGTTTCTTGTCGTTTCAGTCTGGTATGAGGATTCCAAGTTAGACGTTTTTCCAAGTGTAGGCCAAGGTATCGGATTTGTTCAACAGGGATAAGTGGGGTATTATTATTTTTTTTATTTATTTATTTTTTTTTATTTCTTTATTGAGTATTATAACAATCTGTCTCTTGGACATTGGTTATAGTGAGGTAGGATGACATTCACACTATATGTACAAAAAAATAACATAAATAGTATAAAATAATAATCAAAAGTATATACAATAGACAATAAAATAAAATAACCTAAAAAAATAAGAAAATTAAAACTAAGAAAAAAAAACACATGCATACCTATATACAATCAGGCGAGGGAACTCCAGGATAACCCTGCGCTACTCTCCCAACCGCGTCACTGGTACTAAAGCCAGCGGAGATTGACCGAGAGCACTTTAGCCACATACACTCATGTCTTGAGTGAAGAATCTGGCCATTGCCAGAACTCCAATTTATACAATCTACAAAAGGTCGCGAGGCCACTGCCGTTTCAACCTTCTTGGAGGATTATAGGGAGGTGCGGTGCTTGATAGGGATTGTGCAAGAGGATTTGGGTGGTACGTAAGGTTCTGGTGAAATTTGGAGATTTTTTCTGGGATAAGGTCTAGGACAAATGGTATGTTGAGGTCATGATGTAGGGTTTTGTTGGTTACATAGAAAGGAGCATCGACTATTGTTCGAAGGACTTTTGACTGGAAGGATTGGATGCGCTTGATGTTAGAAAATTTTGCTGATCCCCACAGTTCTAGTCCGTAAGTCCAAATAGGTTTGAGTATTGTCTTGTAGATCAGTAGCTTGTTTTCAATGGAAAGTTTAGATTTTCTGCTTAGTAGTCGGTATAGTTGGCCGTATCGTCGGTTGAGTTCTTGTCTTTTGAGTCTAGTATGAGGGTTCCACGTTAGTCTTCGGTCTAAATGAAAGCCGAGATACCGGACTGTGTCTGAGTTAGGAAGCTGTATGGAATTAAAGTGTACTGGTGGACAGGAATTCCGTCGGAGTGTAAAGGTAATATGTTGGCATTTAGATTCATTAACTTTAATGCGCCAGTTATTACACCAGTGCTCAATCAAGGTGAGGTGGCTTTGTAGATTTAATGATGCTATTTCGGGATCAGAGTTGGATGATAAGATTGCGGTGTCGTCAGCGAATATTGCAAGGAAAGTATCGGGATGAACAGGGATGTCAGCAGTAAAGAGGATGTAAAGCACGGGACCCAAGACGCACCGGCATTAACGGAGTAGATATTGGAAAATTCTGTTCCACAGCGAACTCGAAAGGAGCGATTAAAGAGGTAGGATCGGAGGACTAGGTACAAGGACTGAGGTAAATGGATTTTAAGCTTGGAGAGCAGTCCGGAGTGCCATACCCGGTCAAATGCCTGTGCAATGTCCAGAAATGCACCCGAACAGTATTCCTTGTTTTCTAGGGCTGAGGAAATATGATCAACAACTCGGAGTCCTTGTTGAACAGTAGAATGTTGGGAGCGAAAACCAAACTGATGGGAAGGAATATTTTGGGATTCTATAATGGGTAGGATTCGTTTCAAAAGGATCTTTTCAAAAATTTTTGAAAGGATTGGAAGTAGGCTAATTGGTATATAGGATGTTGAGCTATTGGGAGGTTTGCCTGGTTTTGGGGAAAGGATAATAGTGGAGTGTTTCCATAACAGAGGGAAATGGGTGGTGCGTAGGATACAATTGTAGACATATGTAAGGAATATGACTGCTTTGGATGGAAGTTGTCGAAGGATTTGAGGGGTAAGGAGATCATGTCCAGGAGCTTTACAAGGGATTAGTTTTTTCAATTAAAATTTCACTTCGGAAGGATGAATAGCTTTTGGGGGCAAGGAAAGTGGGATTGGTGATGTAAGGAGTTCTACTGTTACGGTGTGGGCAGGATGGGATTCCGGATGTGAAATAAATGTAATGGATAGGTGAATGGCGAACTCCTCATCTTTATCTTCGTCAAATGCTGCCCAGGAGCCATCATCTCGTCGGAGGGGATGAGAAATGCGGTGAGGATTTAGGATTTTTGTTGTGGTTTTTTAAAGGGAATTATTGCGAGAAGAGAGGGAGGATAGGTAGGAGTTGAAGGATTGTGATCTGAAGGTGGCTAATTCCAGTTTTAATTGTTTGCAGTAATAATTATAGGAGCAGCGGTCGGTACGATGTGGGGTACGTTGCCACAATAATCTGGCACGGCGTTTGGTTTGGATTAGGTCAAGGAGGTGTTGGGGTAGAATGGTCTTTTTAGGAATTCTGGAGGAGTCTTTTGGGAAGGAGGCAGTCCAGGCGGCTTGTTGGATTGTGGTAGTAAAGGAACTTACGGCACTATCAAGGTCATCGGGAGTTTTGAGGGATATGTTAAGATCAATTTTATCGGAGATGATTTGGCGGAAAAGGTTCCAGTTTACTGGGCCCCTAATAAATGACGGTGGAGAAGGTTTGGGAATGGGTTCAAGTGAAACATTAAGAATTAGAGGACTATGGTCAGAGGAAAGTTCATTTAGACGTGTAATGGAAGAATTGAGGGGACTTAAGCCGCTGTGGATAAAGAAATCAAGAAGATCAGGATTACAGTTGGGATCTGTGGGCCAGTAGGTAGGAGAGTTGGTTTCTGCAGAGAGACAGAGGTTTACGAACGTCCTGCTTCGTCCACGTAACGTTGTACAACCTAATTATTTGTTTTATATATATATATATATATATATATATATATATATATATATATATAAATTTCACATTGGGAATTTAGAGAAGTTGTTTTTTTTTTAATTATAATTTGGGCCATAGAAATAGTTTTTATTTATGGTCAAGCATGAAAATGTTTCATTAATATTGTTACAATTGTTTGTTCAGCTGGGCTTTATTTTATGCTAGAAGTTTGTTATTTTTTTACCTATCTAACAAGTGTAAAATTGATTCATTTTTGTTTTTATGTTTTCAATATTAGATTTCGTAAATGTTCCAAAATAAATGTTTGAAGATACAGTCCACTTTATTTCTTTTTCTTTTTTCTTTTATTAAATCACAATTAAATAATTAGGCTTCATTAGAAATTTGACATAAACTAAGAGGGAGCTAACAAGGAGTTTACAATTTTTTTTTTTATTGATTGAATTATATATTTTAGAATGCTTATTTTAAACTCAAGTATCATTTATAGAATTTTTTTTTTTATAATCACGAACCGTGGTCCGCAGGAATTTAGTATTCATTATTGTTGCCCAAATGCGAGACCGAGACGAGTCTTGGTCTTGCAAACTCAGTCTTGGTCATCAGCAAGACTCTCGTAACAATGTTGCAGTTACCTATTAGCTTATTACTAGAGAGATATTACTGTATTTTTTTAGATATGAGAAACCTAACTAAGTCTATTAAAAATTATGCTATTAAAAAAGTAATGCATTGGAAATTTCATTCAATTCTGACATTGAAAAAACAAAATGGAAAACTACATTCATGCAATGACACATTTTAAAAGATAAGACGCTGAATGTGCTATCGAAAAGCTTGGGAATTTGATTAGTAATGTCAGGAGCAATATCAGACGAACACTTTTTGATAATGTAATCGTTATTGACTTCATTAGCGATAATGCCGAACATAAATACTTATTCTGCATATATTGTTCTCAGGCAGCGGAATGGCTCTTAAAGTGAAACTTCTAATTTCTATCCTGATTGTTGGTAAGTATGAATCTATAAACACACATAAACAATTTTATGTATGTATACATTATAAATACAATGGTTATCTAGAAATAGAAATAGAAAATAACTTTATTCTGGGACAAAGTCCCTTTAGAATAACAAAATAGAACATAATTAAAATACTACATCTGGCCAAAATAAAACAATAATAAAAAATAAAAAGTAAAGAAAATATT